TATACTTCGATGGTTTTACCTTTAGAATTTCCGAAAACTGTACGATTTCTAATGAGATGCCTTCACTCACCTTGTACAGATCTCGGCGTGCCCAAACCTACCAAAGCGGAACTTGATGGTAAAACAGGAATATTGGAACTTGAGTTCACCCTGATTTCCGGGGCGACTTCGTACACAGTGATTCTGGTTTCCGGTTATGAAGTTTGGCAAGTGTTTCACATCACACCATACACACGTTTCATTGCCGAAATTACGTGTTCCACTTGTGCTGTGGCCGTCCGTGCTGTGAACGCGCATGACAAAGGTGCCTTCTCCGATTTGCTCCCGATCTCCTGTAAGCGCACATTGGATATCGTTATTCCATAACAATTGCGGTCTGTTCCTGGGTTGTAGTTTTGTTTTATTCACATGCCAGTTTGATCTTGCTTGGTGTGGGGGTGGGTGAGTGGGCGTTTCGGGGGAAGTAAAACCTTTAGCCATTAGAAAAATCCAATTCAAAATGGGTCGGTCCATTATTTTAATAAAACTGGAGATTATCTGTCATTTGGATATATATTGTATATTATATTGCACACTCGACTGAGGTCAGACTGTGTGCCAAACCTAACATGGTACAACAATCTGCATAAAAAAGAACGTTCCGTGATTCGCTTGAGGGCTGAGTACTGCCAGGTTGTCCAGACCAAGGCAGGTGAATGTTCTTGAGGAATCCCAAACCGAAGTCTTTGGCTAGCCATACATTGATCCGCAAGGCAGCGTGGCGGTGTGAAATCCGTCATCTATTAGGAGCCGGTATCCAGTTCATCGGATCATACACCCTTTGGACGGGATCAAACGTCCAAGGTACCCAATACACCTTGATGCCAAACCGAGCCGATGATGACTGCCACAAGCAGAAAGTTGTATGTGGTTTGTACGACTCCTCTTGGTTAGTTTAAAATCAGGGATTTTGGCCAAGTCCCCTGGGTGAACAACCAGTGATCCACCAGCCTCAGATGTCGAATTTTCGTCGTCTCACTTTGGTGGGAAATACATCCACCACTATAAGTTGGTTGGATAGCTTCTATATGCTCCTATTTCTAAT